ATAATATAAGTTATATATTTAAGTTCTGGGGGTAAACTGCGTTAATATTTATAAAAATTATATAAATATTTATATTATAACTTATAATATATAATATAAGTTATGTATATATATATATATTAAAACATAAGCTCATGCCGACTCTTCTCCTTCCTCTCAAAATCATGTGCGAGATAATGGAGGAATAGAGTCGAGATAATGGAGCAGGCCTTTAGACTCTATATATAAGGGTCACAAGCATGGAAATCTAATTTATTGCATTAAATTATGACTACTAAAATTCAATTTACGACATTTAAAAATTTGTTTGTTCTTATCACAGTTGTCGCTGTCAAAGAGTAAGAATATTGTGGAACTCAATATGTACACTCAAAAATGATGTGCATGAATCTCAAGATAATCTAACGGTCCAAAACAAAAGTTATGTATGCATAAAGCCGACTAGATGAAAAACAGCTAGTCGACTAGCAATCGACCAAAGGACTACTTAGGCCGACCAAAAATAAGCAATATTCCCAACAACGGAATAAAGGTCCATCACCCTTATGAATCTCACAAGTATTAAAGTAGGCTCTCTCAATACTTCCCTAAAGATCGAACAAGCAAACTGACTGGTTGTACTTGAGCCAACTAACTGCCACCACAATGTCTATCGGCTTCACAGAGCAAAGATCAACTCTTGCCGGACAAAATAACCGGCTGACACCAACACAAACAATCGACTCAAAGACCTGCCAACAGGAAAGTTTAAGAACTTTAAAAGATGCCTAAATGAGTTATAAATATGGAAAAATGTGACTAATGACAATAATGTCTTATAACCCACTCATTAAAATATAGACAAATTTGTAATTTTTCACTTTATGACCCAATATCCTTTATAAATAGAGGTCCAATGCATGTAAAATGGGAGCTTTTAAGCTCTTCTATCTAGACCATACACTGTTTGGAGTAGGTTTGTCAAAATGGCTTGTTGTTCGCGAACAACTCGTGTTCGGCTCGTTCGCTAAGCTAATGAGCCGAACACGAACAACACAAACATACACGAACAACACAAACAAATATTTGTTTGTTCGTGTTCGACTCGTTTTGGCTCGAAATACTACCAATTATATTTATATATATTATGAGTAGTATTTTTAAAAAATTTAATTGGCTACAAAGCTACAAAGCTTTATAATCAATTAAAAGTATTAATGAAGAAATAGAATAAAAATTATTAATTTAGATTCAAATGATGTTTTAAATCTTGCCTCAATCCTTAACATCTTATGACTACGTGATTATGGTTGTCA